CCTAACACTCATCATAAACTAGAGGTTGCACTGATTTGCTGAAATGACTATAGCTCGGTTAGCAGAAGTGGCTCAGAAGGTTTATACCAGTAGAGATGATGGAAAGTGAAAAGCTCAGGAGGAACAGACGAGAGTGGTGTTAGCTACCCGTAAGAAGAAAGCACAGGCAGGGGCAGGAAGTAAGAAAGCGGATGGGAAACAGTTCCAACAGGGAAGGAGACATGTTCCATTGGATCCAAACCAGTGCGCCTGTTGCAAGGAGATGGGACAGTGTAAGCAGGAATACCCAAAATTGCTAAAGAAAGAGAAAAAGGAAGTGCTTATGGTGGAGGCCAGGGAAGTTTCAGACTGATAGGGTCATAGGTCTCTGTCTCTTGGCCCCAGGGAACTCATGTTAACTGCAACTGGGGGAAAACCAGTTCCTGGTGGATAAAGGAGCTAACATATCTGTAGTCACTCAGCCAGTGGCCCTACTTTTAAGCAAGGAAATAAATGTCCAGGGGGAAACTGGCCAAACCTCTCTTTATTCTTTTTGTGAGAGTTGTCAGGTCTGGCTTGGACAAAAAAGTGGTTAGTCATGCTCTTGTGCTTATACCTGACTGTCCTTTACTCCTTCTGGGCCAAGACTTACTTCACAAGCTGCAAGCTCAAATTTCTTTCACCCTCCCTCAGAAACCATCTTGACTACTGGAGAAGAGCTTCCCTCTACTGAAGCTCATGTTTTGGTTGTAACGTTTCCCTTACAGGAGAAATATCACCTCATGAAGCTAGGCCACCTTCATTGAATGGCCCTGAATTCCCCTCTTGGACTCAGTAACTTGCTCTGGTTTGGGCAGAAGACAATCCCCTGGGTTTGGCAGCCCAAGTACCTCCCATAATGGTAGAATTGGTGGGGCACACTAAACCAGTTCACTTAAGATAATATCCTATGACCATAGGAAGCGTGGAAGGGTATTAAACTCCAGGTACAGAGGTTACTTGGGGTGGTAATATTAAAATAATATCAGTCCCCTTGGAATATACCTTTCCTACCAGTCTGAAAGCCAAGAACCAATGAATACAGACTGGTCCAGGGTCTTAAAGCTGAATAATATAGTCACTACTCTTCACTCTGCACTTCCAAATCCCTACACCCTGCTTAGCTTGCTTCCCACCTAGTTGAACTTAGTATACTGTATTCAATTTGAAAAATGCTTTCTTTTGTATTCTTTTGTCAGTAGGTTCCCAAGAAATATTTGCTTTTGAGTGGGAGGGACTCAAAGGGAGATGAAAATGTCAGTTAACCTAGACAGCACTCTCCCAGGTATTCAAGAACTTACTGATAACATTTAGAAAAGCCTTGTCCAGGGACCTTATCCCTTTCAGCCAAGCAAGCTCTGAAATTTCCGTTACAGTATGTAGATGACTTGCTTTTGGCCACTGAAACATATGAACTATGCCAAGAAGGGGCAAAGAAGTTGCTGGGATTACTCCAGGAAGAGGGGTATTGGGTTTCAAAGAAAAAGGCTCAAATTTGTATGAAAACTGTTAAATTTCTGGGGTTTGGGTTAAATAGTGGAACACAGGCCCTGTTAATTTCATGGATTCAGGCCATCCAGGGCCTGAGGGTACCCATTACCAAAAAGTAATTGAGGGAGTTTCTGGGGACTATCGGATACCGTCAGCTTTGTGTTCAAAACTTTGCAGCTATCACCTAACCTCTCCACAAGGCCTTAAGAGAAGAAAATATCCCCCCACTGGAATGGAATCCTGAACATCAGGAGGCCTTTGAGGACTTGAAAGAAAAACTGGTTAAGTGCCCCTGCCCTAGCACTTCCTGATATCACAAAACCTTTCCAGTTATTCATTCATGAGAAAGAAGGCATTGCTTGGGGTGTCCTTGATAAATTTTGGGACCTCCAAAGAGACCGGGGACATACTTGTCAAAAAGTCTGGGCACAGTGTTAGAAGAATGGACCTCCTGCCTATGCTCCACTGCTGCCATAGTGATATTAGTAAAGGAAGCAGACAAATTGACTCAGGCACAGAATTTGAACATGTTTGTACTACATGCAGTAGTACTTTGCTAAGAAGACCTGATGGTAAGTGGGTCTTAGGAACCAGATTAGCCCAATATCAGGGGGCTTTGTTAGAGAATCCTAGACTCCCCATTAGGACCATTCAAGCTATTAACTCTGCCTCTCTTTTGCCCTCCTCCTTGGAGCCACCTGAGCATGACTACACTGAAGTTGTTGAGATGGCATATTTGGCTCAGTCAGATCTACAAGATACTGCCCTCAAGGACCTCGCTTTGACTATATTTTCTGATGGCAACAGCATAGTAATCAAAGGGGTCTGAAGGGCAGGGATAGCAGTTGTCACCTTGGATCAAATAGTTTGATTGAAGGCATCACTTCCAGGGACCTCCGTGTAATGGGCCCAACTAATAGCACTCACATGGGCACTGGGGGAAGCGTAAGACAAAAAGGCGAATACACTGACTCTCATTATATGTTTGCTACTCTACACATGCATGGTGTTATCTACCGGGAAAGAGGTCTCTTGACAGCAGGAGGAAAAGACACTAAAAACTCACTGTTTGAACTGTAACAAATTGTCTGGTTGCCCAGAAGGTGGTGGTAATACACTGTCCAGGCCATCAAGGGACGAATCAATGAAGGCTTAAGGAAAAAAGGCAGTTGACACAGTTACTAAAAAAGTGACCTTGGAGGGGCTGGGGATTTAGCTCAGTGGCATAAGCGCCTGCCTTGCAAGCAGACAGTTGTGAGTTTGATCCCTGGTACTGATAAAAAGGAAAAGGAAAAAAAAAAGTGACCTTGGGCCAGCAGCCTCATTTGGCTCATGTTTTAATGGCTGACCATTAAACCAGCCCACTATTCAAAAGAGGAATTTAAATGCGCAAAGACAGACGAGGTCACTGAGGAAAACGGAGGGCAAATTTTGCCAGGAGGGTAGGTTTTTTCCCTGAAGTTTTGGGACTTTATGTAATATAAGACCTACATAACTGTACGCACCTAAGAAAAATGATCATGTCAAATTTTTATATTTTTAAATTTTATTTTATTTTATTTATTTATTATTATTATTATTTTTGGTTTTTTGAGACAAGGTCTCACTATGTGGTTCAGGCTGGCCTTGAACTCACTTTGTAGCCCAGGCTGGTCTCAAACTTGCAACAGTCCTCCTACCTCAGTCCCCCAAGTGCTGTGATTATAGGAGTACACCACCAGGCCCAGCTAGCCATGTCAAATTTGCTCAGTCATTGTTTATTTGTTCTGAGAACTTGGACTTTGTGTGCCTCAGTAGCTGCTCATTGTGAAGCCTGTACCTATAACAATCCAATTTCAAGGCCTCAACAGCAGCTGGGTGTCCAAATGCAAGGGACTTTGCCATTTGAAGATGTTGAGATTGATTTTACTGAAACAAAACCCACAAGTGGAAATAAAATGTACCTGTTAGTCTTGATCTACACCTACTCGGGTTGGGCAGGGGCACTGCCTACTAGGACTGAAACATCTAGGGAAGTAGTTAGGGCCATGATGGACTTGATTACACCCCAGGATGGGCTCCCCATAATGGTGGGCTCACATAATGGACCAACTTTTGTGTGCCGAGTGACCCAAGGTCTGTTGAAGGCCTTAGAGTTTGTCTAGAGGCTACATATGCCTATCAACCTCAGAGTTCAGGCCAGGTAGAGAGACAAAACCTAACTCAAAAGAACATCTTGGCAAAACTCTTCCAAGAAACAGGATCTAATTGAGTAGTAATGCTTCCTATTTCACTCCTAAGATCATGGTGCACCCCATACTGGCATGGGCTCACTCCCTTAGAGATAGTGTTTGGGAGGCTTCTGCACTTGTGTCAGCGCTTGAAGGACTACAGGAAATTGAAATCTTGGACTTGCATCAGCATATGAAAGCACTGCATCAAACACTGAAGGACCTTCAACAAACTGTGTTGCTGTGACACTCCCTTCCTATACATTCTCCAGTCTGTAGGTTCAAACGTGGTGACAAAGTTTTAGTTAAATCTTAGAAAGAGGAGTCCCTCCAACCACAGTGAGGGGGCCTCAAGAGCTCATAATAACCACACCAACTGCTGTAAAACTTACAGGTTGTACACCATGGATCCATTACTATAGGGTTAAGAAGTGGACACCTGGGGAGCAGATGATTATGGACTCACCATTGCCCCCTGGGACCTCGTTTTCCAATCCAAGTCCTGTCTACTGTGATGCTTTCAGAGACTACACCACAAGAATGAGGGTAAGTCCCAATGAAGCCTGGAAGGCTACACCTATGAGACAGCTCCACTGAAGACCATGAGGAGATGATGTACCCAAAATCCTACCATCATCACCCTAAAAGCTGACAAGTCAATACATGGCTGAAAATTGAGCAGACATCATACACTAGAACATTGGTAACCTCTATACACTGCTATTCTATTGAATTCTTGGTCCCCTTATTGTTAGTCTTTTGTTTGCTGTTGCACTCTAATCTGTGTCTCCAGAGGATTGGGGAATTCTGGAGAGGGTTGCTTTTGTTCTTTTCTACCTAGTTGTAGTTATCTCAACTGTTTAAAATGATTTTCCTACAGCTAACCTGTTTAAACCTTCTGGGGCTGACCCTAAGAATGACAACCCAAGTTTCATCCTTTCTGTTCCTCATCTTGCTAATGAAGTTTGATGACATCCAGGTAAATAGAGAAAAGCAGGAAAGTTTCAAAACTCAGACAAGTTTTGTTTGCGGGCTCAATTCATCCTTAAGGATATTAATAATCTAGTTTGGGCAAAAGGGCTTATTTAGGACATGCATATGCACCTACAAAGAATAGGAGGATGGGCAGATCCAGGGATCCTTATTTGCATATCAAGGATGGAAGTAATGCCCTGGGAGCTTGCTGCCCCTTTTCCTGCATTCTCCCAAACGTTGCATGATCCAAAGGCCCAAGACCAAAGGTTTTGCCTAAGACCTCTCTAAAAAGTTATGTCTTCATCAATGGTAGATATTCAGGTTGGTCTGGACAAGGTAAGTATGAAGTCAGGGATTTACCAGGTACTTAATGAGACCCACCAACTTCTAAATATGTTGGACCCTACCATAACAAAGAACTGTCGGATGTGTATAAGACCAAGTCCACCCTTTTACAAAGCTATAGCTTCCTCAACCATGATTCTACCCAGTCAAACACTCTGCTTCCCAGAAGAAAAAGAAACTTTACCTTTCCTCATGATAGAGATTGTTTATGGACAGGGATTTTGTGTGGGATAGAGTAAAAACCAGACCGCATGCAACCAGACCAGGTCACAGGATTCCACCTACTGAGCACCTCAAATCATTCCAAAACAACAGTAGTGCTGCAAAGAGGTGGTATCCACGGAAAACCCTGATTTTGTGAACAGAAGGGAACAAAGGAATAGAGGCCAGCCAGCCAGTAGCCAGCAATTTCAATGGTGAAAGCTGACTGAACACTGCAATTTCAAAATAAACCTCATTTGTTTCTGAAAATCCGGTGTTCTGTGAGTAACTTTCTTGAGCATGCCACAACACTGGGCACTACATATGACATTACAAATTAAAAGGTCACATTTCAATCTATAGTTAACTGGCTCCAAGACAGGAGGACAGCATGGAAGAAGAGCATGGTGGACAGAAAGTAGTGAGCAGAAAGGGGAACTGGAGAGGGAGATAAACCCTTCCAGGCCACTCTCCCAGTAACCTAACTCTTTGACCAAACCTCACCTCCTAACAGCAAGTTAGGCACAAATCCCTATAATTCAGTCACCTGTGAAAAGCCCCATTGTTGAACACATGAGGTTCTTGGGAGACATCCAGATATAAACCATAACACTTGGTATTCAGGATTTCTATTGGGGATTTATCATGGAGGTATAATTTTTTCACGTTAACAGCCCATATGTCAACCTCCCCCAATTATCTGATCTCTCAAAATATGTAGTCACCTCATCTTGGTGGAATCATCAGGACATAATCCTCAGTTCTGTATGTCCAGGATGAAATTTCATGGATGATTCCAATCTGGACTAGGCTCAAGGGACTGGTAATATTAAACCTTAATGCTAATTTACTCATTTGCAAAGAAATTAGAATTCAGAGAGAAAAACACAGACTAGGATCCCTTCTCATACCCTCCTCCTTTTTTTGAACAAATCTATGGCAAAAGTCCAGTTGCTATATAAGCAAGAAGAGCCAGACTAAGGACCATCTATGACTGGTCCCAAGGGCAGGTGACCTCAGTTCTATGATCTGTCAAGCCCATACCACCAAGATGTCAAGGCCACACGGCCTGAGAGTCTCTGAGCAGAGCCTGCTGGAGATGGCCTGATTCTCATTCTATCTCCTCTTCTTGTAGGGAATTTAATGACTGCTGCCTCACCTGTCTTGCCTCACTCAGCTTTCCTTCAAAATATGATGTGGAGACAAAGATTTCTACTCTTGCCTCTCAAGTGACTACACCAAGATGTGCTGGAATCTTGTAGCCATTACCCATTTACAGATTATCAATAGACAGGTTATTTTCCAAGCAACCAATTCTTTCATTAATTATCCATTTTCATTCATGTTATTCTCAGGAAGTAATTTTAATCTGCAATTTGGGGCTTTCTATATTGTAGCCCTCTTAGGTTTACAAATTTATCCCATTTCTGAAACCCCAGTATCCAGAACACCTCTCACAACTGTGATTCTTAGAATATCTCAACAGCCCCCTCTTGCTTCATCTCCATTTGGCAGATCATGTGAAAGCCCACCTCTGCATTCTAAGACTGCAGCCTGGAAACCACGTCCTCTAGGCATTACCCCACTTTCAGAGAACAATGGGGACATACGAGTTGAATGACTCATAGATACAAGGCTCTGGGAACCCACAGTAAGAAAGCAGGTAACTTGAAAACATCTTCCTGACAACCCAGAATCCAATGGGTGAATCCTAGGGCAGAGACTTAGCAAAAAGCTTTTTGTTCTTGGATATCACTAACTTGCCATCTAGGTTCTACATGGACTCCCTGTACTTACATAGCCCCCTAATTATCCCAGGGCCCTACCTGACAAGAGGTCATAATGCCCCACCTGCCTAGTCCCAGAACAGTTCACCAAAGTGAGAAGGGCTTGGAGGGTAGGTATGTTGGAAAGGAGAGATCCCCAAAGATGTCAGTTACCACTTTGAGGTTACTCTCTTGTGTCTGCCAGGACCCCATCCTCCCCACCCTGTCCCTCTCTCACAACTAAGCTGATTTCCCATCATACCTACCTTCTCCCATGACCTGGATATTTATCCAGGCCAAAAGCCTTTGCAGATCCAATCCTACTCCCTCCCAGGACCTTGGTACTGTGGAGACATTGGGTAGGTCAGCGCATCCATGAGTATTTCCCTAGGACTCTACCAAGGCCCAGCTCCTGGACAGTGTCCCAGGACTGGAGCACTTAGGCTGATAACTGCAGTCTTTACTACAGCCGGGCCAGTCCTGCTGCTGCTGCTGGTGCTGGACAGCTTCCTTCCCTTCAACCTAATCCATAGGAAGTGGGAAGTAGGCTGGCAGGTAGGCAGTGTAAGGAAGTAGGCCTGTGCCACTTTCCACAAGCCCAGCTTCCACCTTCTCTCTCTCCACAAGCCTGCAGGTCCCACCTTGGTGCAACACAGATGTCTCACAAGGGACCAGAATCCGGGGGCCATCGAGGATCCAAGATAGCAGGTGACTTCCCTCTTCCTAAAGGGACAACCCAGCCTCTAAGACATACTTCTGTTGCTCCTAGGCTTGGGGAAGCTGTTGGGAACCCACAGCATGACCATGGCCATGCTGGGCCTGGCTTTGTGTGGTCATCCTTGGGCCAGAGGGCATTCAAAACATCAAATGCTCCTCCCCATACACTAGCCATTCTACTTTCTCAGGCCTCTTTCCGCCCCCATCCTGGACTATGAAGGCCTGAACCTTAGGGAACCTCTGCCTCCATAATATGGAGAGTTAAAAATCTGGATCTGAGGCTTGGAGCAAGAAAAGAAGGCAACAGACAGGGAGAGGGGCCAAGACAAGATGTGGCAGCCATCCGAGGGGCTGTATGTCGTGGGCAGCCATTCTGGTTCTGGAAAACGAGAATGTGGAAAGTCTTATAAGAGTAGGTTAGGGCTGGTATTGGTATCAAATAGCAGACAGGGATAGGAGAGGGTTACTTCCCACAAGAAAGCATGGGGAACGTGTGTGTGGCTCCTCAGGCTGCTAACCTACAGGGTTCACTGAGAGGAACTCAGGAGGCTCAGAGGAGCAGTAGCTTCTCTTTCCACTGGACCCCACCCTGGCCCGGGTCACAATGGTGAGGGTGGCGATGAGTAAAGGTGGTAGCTCAGGTCCAGCTGTCAGGCAGTCCTGGACACAGCAGGAAAAAACATGACTTAGGCAGCTCTACCCAGAGGTGAGTCCTGGACTCCAGCTCAAACCCCACCTCTCCCTGCCCTCCAGACCCCAATACCTTCACTTGCCTTGAGGTCCCAGGCATTTCCGGAGCTGCTGCTACAGCTGCCCTGGCCCTGTCTACAGGTGCACCAGCTGTGATGCAGCAGTCGAGGGTGGAGACGGATGCCAGCGGGGCTGGCGAGGGGCCACGGCGGGCAGTCCCCTGGTCAGCCTGGCTCACCCGGCAGGACTGGATGCGCTGGTGTGCTCGCCATGTGCCCCATAGCTGGGCCCAGTGGTGGGCCACAACTGGCTGGAGGCAGCCACTGCAGCGGGTACTATGGACCCTGGAAGGGATTCTCTACCTGCTGCTGGCCCTGATGCTGTGCCACGCGCTCTTCACCACTGGCTCCCACCTGCTGAGCTCTCTGTGGCCTGTAGTGGTCGCAGCATGGCACCACCTGCTGCCAGCTGTCCTGCTGCTGGTGCTCAGTGCCATGCCCGCCCTGCTCTTCACTGCCTCCTTCCTGCTGCTCTTCTCCACGCTGCTGAGCCTAGTGGGCCTCCTCACCTCCATGAATAACCAGGACTATGCTCAGGACTTGAACGAATAGAAGCAACCCCATCCTGCTGCCTGTGTCTATTGAGCCCTGGACCAGGGCCCAGCCCCGGGAAGAGGGAGGGCAGTGGGACCTCATCTCAAGACGAGGCCTGTGTGTGTCGGCTGGAGCCAGCAGGTACACTTCTGGCCTAGTCTTGGGAATTTTTAAACTGATGCTGCAGGTACCTGCAGTGAGGGACCAGTGGCTTTGAAGGGATAGGACAGATGTCTTAGCCAGGGGCAGAGTTTTTCCAAGTGCCTGAAAGCACCTCTGTGGATGTGAGGACACCCACTGGGGCACCTTGGCAGCTGACAGCATCTTTTTGTGACAGCAGCCTAGCTGTCTCAGCTTCAGAATCCCCAGCACTTCCTGCCACCAACACTTTCCACTCCCAGGAGGACTGCAGGCTCTGGAAAGTGACAGAAACCTAACCAGGGAGGCACTGGTCAAAAGTTCTGGAATCCACACCTCATTCACATCCCTCCTCCCTAGATGTCCTACCTCCTGCCTCAGTCCACAACCCCAAGCTGGGAAATAGAACAATCAAGCAGTGAGTTTCACTTAGAGGAGGAGGGGTGCCCAGAGCCTTGCTCATTCACAGTATGCTGCACAATTAAGCTACACTCTACTCAGTTCCCATATCTTTTATGGAAAAACAAGCCCCATTTCAGCAACCTACACAATGTATGGCCTTGGCCAATTCATTCTTTTAAGCTGTGGCATCAAGTGGGTTCCTACATTGTCACAGGGTTACTGGGAATCAAACGCACTATCTATTTGCAGAGTATTTTGTAAAGGCCAAAAAGATTATTGTTTTGTTTTGAAAAAGATTGTTAAGATGTTGATTTGATCTCTCAGAATATTCTCTAGGTTCAAAGATATTTTAACCCAGAAAGCCAATAAAAGAGCAGGAAGCTTCCCAGAAACAGAATGTTGGCCCTAAAACAGTAAACAGGGGATGGATATTGTGGACAACATGCAAAAGGTCTCATATCATGAAATCTCAAAATGTGCACATGCTGAACTCTTCTGATTGTGAAATCCTTGGGGCTGAGGCTCAGTGCTAAGAGATGCTTGCACAGCTGTGTGAGTAAGAAAAGCATAGCACAGGGATTTCCAAAACCATCCCCAACAAGCTGCTCCTAACCCAGAAAGGTTTTGGAACGTGGCATTCCTTGACATTCCAGATTCTGCCCATTTGCACATCTCTTTGTCTTTCTTTTTTTTCTCCCTTGTTCGAGACAGAGTTCGCTATGAAATTCAGACTGGCCTTGAACTCACTTTGTAGGCCAGGTTGGTATTAAATTTGCAGTGATCCTCCCGCCTCAGAGCTAGGATTATAGGCATGCACCACCATGCCTGGCTACCATTTTCACATCTGATGACTCCTAGAAGCAAAACATTAAGTGTTCATTATTACCAAGTAAATGTGTGACAGACAATTTACCCACAGCTAGAGTCTACCCACCCATCCCCCATCCTTTCCTGTCTCCTCCCAATCCCTGACCCTTCCCAATTCCTGCCTGACCCTGACCCCCACTTTGTATCTAACCCCAAAATTGTTGTTTCTGATGCTCTAGGTCCAAGGCCTCTTTCTCCTACCATCTAAATACTCAGCTCCTAGAGACTTAATTCCTAGAACCATAGTTCATTTTGGCCAAAACCCATTTGCTTGAGTTTTACAACCCTGCATGTCACACTGGTTGGATGCCGTTAGCTTCAGTGCCTGACACTCAAGGATCAAGTCCTTCCTTCCTGGGTTTGTTGTGTTGTTGTTTTGTTTTGTTTTTTGTAGTTCTGCCTGCAATATGTCCTGGTTGTGAAGGCAAGATAGGACATGGAGGTGGCATAGCTTCATGGTTAGAATAGTATACTTGTTGAGGCTCAGTCCAAACCCCAGCATTGTCACTTTCTAGCTCCCTGGTCTTGGTGGAAAACTAAATCTTCCTGAATCTCATTTTCTTCGTGAGTAAAACAAAGACAAAGACACCTGTCTTTGGCTTCTGTGGAGCTGCTGACATGCAGGTGAAGTGATCAAATGGACTCCTAGCTACACATAATATATTGTAACTACCCCATTTTAGAGATGAGCAGTCTCTAAAAGTAGCTTAGTATAGCACTTGCCAGTGGCAAAGCCAGGCTATCTGGATCCCAGTCCCCCTAACAGGCTACTAAAGGGAATGGTCATGGGGCCTAGAGGAAAGACAACAACCTAAATGAAAACTATGGCTTCCCTTATTCTCAAAACTTCTGTCAGAGATTAGACCCAGCCCTAGGCAGATCAGGAGTCAAACCTATATCGATGTCTTATGCACTGAGGCTTATGGGGTGGATGGAAACCAGGATACCTGGCCTGGATCCTTCACTGACTCTGACCATGCATGACTAACTAGTATCATCACTCTGGAGACGAGGGTCATTCCAATACAGAGAGACAGGAAGTCTGGGCCTAGATCATATGCCCTAGGGGATAGGATATGGGCAGGAACAAGAAGGCCTCCTAGTCAGGCATGGTGGCACACACCTATCATCCCAGCACTCAGAAGGCTGAGGTAGGAGGACAGCTGCAAGTTCGAGGCCAGCCTAGGCTACATAGAGTTCAGGGGCAGCCTGAACTATACAATGAGACCCTATGTCAAACAAACAAAAAATAAAAAAAGGAAGCTTCCTTCCCACATGTAAATACCTACCTTGGTCCCTCCTGCTGCTTCTGTGTAGGGTAGGGGGTAGTGCAGCCAGATGGAAAGCAGAGATCTATGGGGCTTTTCTTCTCAGAATCTGGTCTCAGAACCAGCAGAAGACATCCTCAGGGACCTGTTTAGAACTGTAGTTTCATCCAGATGTGGTGGCACAGGCCTGTATTCTCAGCCTTTGACAGGCTAAGCCAGAAGGAGTACAAATCTGAGATCAGCCTGGGCTACACACCAAATTCCAGCCCAACCTGAGTTACACAGAAAAACACTGTCTCAAAAAAAAAAAAAAAAAAAGAAAAAAAGTGAAAAGGAAGAAAAAAGAAAAGAAAAAGAAGGAGAAGAAGAAATGCAGAGTCTAAGACCCTGCGCAGACCTGCTGCATCAGAATCAGAGCCTGTATTTTATCAAGATTCCCTGGGTGATATGTGTGTACACTAATGCTTGAGAAACATTGCACAGGGCCTGTTTGTGGATACTTCTGGTGGGGGTAGGGAGATGAGAATGGTGAAACATAAAACACGGCAGATAAAGAGGCAACAGTTAAAAGGACAAAAGCTACATGGATCAGTCTTCAAAATTTTAGCACAAAAAAATGTAGCACAGTTACTAGAAGCAGAAGATAAAACAATTTCCTTTGTACAAATTTAAAATGCATACCAAGCCAGTGAGATTTAATTTAATTTTTTTTCAAGAACACACACAAAAAAAGAAATCAAATGGCCTGGACAGCTAGGGACAAACAAATGGCAGTGGGGTACAGAGATAATAAAGCAAGAGACCTTGAAGAGAACAAATGTGATATCAATGTAATTTCTGAAACTTTTTAATGTAGACAAAGTTATCCACTTAAAGTTAAAAGGTTTAACCATGCTTGCTGGGGAAAACAGACCCGAGGGAATGAAGCAGTTTCAAGCCTTTCCGGTGTGGGCCAATATGCAAGAGCTGTCCCACTGGCCTATGTGACCTGGCCTCTGGGTGGATAGCGTTTGCCGTCCAACCCCACCCACTCCACAGCCTTATCTGATGTTTTGGAGGGAGGTCTAGTAATCCTTTGGTCTAGCAGAAAAATAATCTGATCATAAGGAGCTCAGTTCCTTAACTCAGAGAAAGTGTAACAGCCGGGCGTGGTGGCTCTCGCCTGTAATCCCAGCACTCAGGAGGCTAAGGCAGGAGGATCGTTGCGAGTTCAAGACCAGCCTGAGCTACAAAGTGAACTCAAGGCCAGCCTGAACTGCATAGCGAGACCCTGTCTCAAAAAGACAAATAAATAAATAAAATAAAGTGTGAGCCAGGAGGGGCCGAGCATCTGGAGAGGGATTCACGGTAGCTCACATCTACACTGGGAATCCTGAGGAGCCCTGGAGGAGATTGGGGATGCCCAGTAAATAGTACTTCCCTCTGCAAGAAACAGAGAGCCAGGAGCAGGAGCAGACAGGAAAGAGCAGCATCGGGGGAGGGGAGCTGCTGCTGGGGGCACCTCTTGAGATGGAGCAACAGTGCCCCCCCCCCCCCCCAGAAGGACAGGGGTCCCCAGAAAAAGGCCTGGCAACAGCTGACCGAGGGAAGCCGGGAGGGGGCGCACATCCCCAAATTCAGGGTGAGCGAGTGAAAGTAAGGGAGGCCTTGTCCAGGTAGGAAAGGATGAGAGTGGGCGATGATGAGGCTCTTGGAACCAAGAGGTCAGCGCCCACCGCGAGAAGAGAGGAAACGGATCATCCGGACAGAGGCCGCCTGAGGACCAGGGGAGGGATGGGGTCGGGGAGGGACACTGATGCGGCCTAGATGAGCGCGGTGGGCGGGGAGGAAGGGACCACCTCACCGGCCCGCAGCCAGGGTGGGGCTGCGGGCAGATGGCGGTGGTGAGATCTCTGCGTGGCGTCAGGACACTCGAGGTCAGGTCGGCAGGATCCCAAGCCCAGCCCAGGATCGGAGAACCATGGCCACTCACACAGGGAAGGTGCCAGAGGCCTGAGGCGTCAAAGTCCCCGGGATCGCTGTGTGCAGTGCAGGTGACCACCGAAGGTGAAAGGTCGTCTCCTGGAGAGGTCTCTGGCTTGACTGGAGCAGGGAGGAAGGCAGGAGCCAACACTCAGGACGAGGGGCAGGACTTGGGACCAGGGAGAGGCATCTTGGACCCACAGTCATCACCGATGCCAGTTTCGTTGTCTCCTCTCTCCTTCCCTCAAATCTCCAGCTTGGGTCCCCAAGCCAGGGACCCAGAGCTTTGAAGACAGAACTCAGGAGAATCCTGGGAGAGAACTGGCCGCACCTTTGGGGAAGGTGCAAAAGAAGCTCTTGAAAAACAGTGCCAGGCCAGGCATGGCATAACCTGTAATCCCAGCACTCTGGGCGGCTGAGGCAGGATGATCACAAGATTGAGTCCTGCCTCCTGGACAAATAGGGAGACCTTGTTTCAGAAAATAAAAGGGGTGGGAATATAGTTCAATGTAAAGGCAGTGGATTCAATCTCCAGCCCCACTAAAATAAATGAGGACTGTGAGGTCTGCAAATCACTCAGTCTTAGAGCACTTGCCTGACATGTATGATATAATACCCAAGTTCAATCCCCAGTACTACTACTAATAAAAATACTTGATTTAACATGTTTCCACCATATTTCCTGGTCTATGTTTTTATGTTTTGCTGTTTATTTTTGTGGGTTTTTTGAGACAGTGTCTTGCTATGGAGTTCAGTATGACCTTGAACTCACTGTGTAAGCCAGGCTGACCTCAAACTCAGCAGTGATTCTCCTGCCTCAATATCCTGAGTGCTAGATTACACATGTGCACCACTATTCCTAGCTTGACCTGTCTTTAAAATGTCTACTACATTTTAGTCCATAATCATCTGGAAAAAAAATGTCTACTCCTGAAAACAAAACACAGGAAATTCATGTTGTATGTACCAACAGTTCACTATTTAATAGCTGAGTAATATTACACTGTATGGTATACCAACATTTTTTTATCCATTCATTGATTGGTGGACATCCAAGTTTTAGTTTTTAGCTGTTACACATAATACTGCTGTGAACATTATACGTCTTTTTATAAACATATGGTTTAATTTTTCTTGGGCAAA